TTCCAGTTTACTTTTCCAGGCCTAGTCATCTTTCAGGGAGAAGGAAATCGGACAGTTTGTCTACTTTAAACCCAGAAATGGCAAGAGATAATAAGGGTGTTCTTATTTGAGGTGGGAGAATCACAGTTTCTCATTCTCAAATTTCATTTCTGGTAAGGTGGGAATAATGGGGTCTGAGAGCTGTGAGTGGAGCTCCAGCCAGCTGGAGACCCTGCTCATATTCCTAGCCTGGAGCCAGCAGGCTTCAGGAAGCAGGGGCTGGTTACCCCTGAGCTCTTCCCCCTGTTCCTGTTCAGCATGGCCTTGTTCATGAGGGTGGGGCGGCCTGGGGTCCTATTGTTTACTCTCAGTAGAGTCATGGCAGCAGTGATGCCAAACAGGTCTGTCCTTGAATGGGCGTGGGGGCCTCACAGGCAGCACCCCTCAACATAGAGGTATGTTGACAGAGGTATGTTAATGTTGACCTAAAAATCCCTTTGCAGTGATACAGCTCCAAATCATAAGTGTGGTTTTAGTTTATAGGAAAGACTGTTTTTCTTCCCAGCCATTGGAGAATGCCTTCAGCAAGAATTAATGGCTTAGCTGGGTATTTTAGCATTACATTCCATCATCTATCACTTTTTCAGTCTTCAGAGTAAGAGTCTTTCCTGCCAAGGCTCACCTCTATTTTGAATTTGTATAAAGCATTAAAACGCTTGCCCCTGGGGAAGGTTTGGCCAAGAATGCTGCCAGATAATATGAGAGTATTTTAGGCCCTTTCTGTGCATTAGATTTGCTCCATCATGAACCTGGTGTGTGTTTCTTTCTCATCCCCTCGTCTCCTGCTGCCATTTCCCATATAAATAATTCTTGGAAGCAGCACAGGTTGTCACTGAGTTCTTTTTTTTTCCCCCCTCCTATTGATATCTGGCTTTCACATCATGGCCCCTGTAGTTCTAAATGACAATTTAAGATGAGAAAAATGCTGCAAACATAGATTTGGAAGCATTTGTTGTAGCCGAGGTGGTATGCGGATCCTCATCCCTCAGCCTGGGGACCCTGCTCTCTCTTCTTTTGGCTTGCATGTTTCTTTTCCCTACTGTTGGGATTGAGATTTGATTTCTTCTCATTCTCCTTTTCCATTATTCCCAAATCTAATTAATCACCAGCTCCTATGATCATCAGCCTCTGAAATGTCTCTGATTGCCTTCTGCATTCCACTGCACATCTTTGTCACTGTAGACAGAGTTGCCTCATCAGTTTCCCTGACTTCAGTCTTGTCCTGTGTCATCTTTTAAATACAAGTGTTCCCATGCTATTGCCCTGCTAAGGACTTTCCCACTGCCTATGAGATAAAGTCCAGAGTCTCTCCTATGATATTCAAGGTGTTTAAAGATCCAACCTAGACCTTCTTTTTTCACTCCTTTTACCCTAATTCCACATTTCATGTAGGTCATTAAATATGAAATGCCCAATTTGGAATCAAAAGTGTCATTTATTGTATCTCAAACAAGAAGTAGTACAATTAATCAAAGTATGTGCCTAAGCTATTGATACAGTTTTGACATCTTAATGATAGCTTGTTTATGCCAGCAGCAATGAAGCCTGGAGAGTGAGTGACAATGAAATCAAAAGGCATTTTCCACAGCTTGTTGAGAATTGAATATTTTTCCTTGCAAGAAGTGGTCTAAAGCCTGGAAGAAGTGGTAGTCAGTTGGTGCAAGGTCTGGTGAATATGGTGGATGACAGAGAGTTTCCAAGTCCAGCTTTTGTGGTTTGAGCAGTGTTGTTTGTGTGATATGTGGTTGAAAATCGTCTTGCAAGAGATTGTCTTGTTTCTATTGGCCAATTTCAGTTGCTTCTTCCCAAGCATCCTCATCATTTGATCCAACTGGTTGCAGTAGACATCTGTTGAAATCGACTGACCAGATTTCATGAATCTGTAGTGGATGGACCAGTGGCTAATGCTAGACCACCAAACAGATACTAGTAGCTTTTTCTGTTGAATATTCAGTTTTGGACTGTGTTTTGGCACTTCATCTCTATCAAACCATTGTGCAGAATGCTTGCGATTGTCAAACAAAGTCCATTTTTCATCACATGTACCAGTATGGTATAGAAATGGTTTGCTTTTATGTTGTGACAGCAAAGAAAGGCAAGCTTCAAGTCGATTTCTCTTCTGAGATTCATTTAATTCATGTGGAACCCATCTATCCATCTTTTTTACCTTGCTGATTTGTTTCAAATAGTCTAGTACTGTTGGAATAGTAATGTCAAACCTTTCTGTTAATTCACATGTAGCTTGAGATGGATTCACTTCCACTGTAGCTTTCAGCTCATCATTATCCACCTTGGTCTCAGGTCACCTTTGAAAGACTGAAGATGTACCTTCGCAATAAACATGAAACAAGTAATGTCAAAGTGAAATGTCAGAGATATTAACTGTCTAACTTAGTACTTAAGAAAACATCAGACATATCATACTTAATTACCTAATATAATCCACTTCATTTCCCACCATCACTAGGAAATGTCAAGTCAGTTTACCCCAGTGAGCTTTTGTACATATCTTTTTCTGAAACTGTTATCTTTCTTAAACTATCATTCTTTCATTTAACCTTTTGGAAAATATGTTTGCTTTTGATTTATGTTACCATTTTTGTAAAATTTTCCTGAGCCTGGCGAGGCAGGGTGAGTTGGTCTTTCTGTGGGCTCCCCTGTGCATTCCTTGTACTTCTAATCAAGCACTTACCAGACTGTATTGGAAGTACTTCTTTGTATTCTTTAAGCCCACACCTCTGAAGTTTCAGGTGCTATGTGAAGCACTGTCTGGGCCAAGAGATGGATTGAGTACAGTCCTTGTTTCCCACGAGCCTAATATGAGCTTAACAGTCAGAAATAACACCAGATGGAAACTTGAAACTGTATAAAGTTTGAGTGATGAACCCCAGAAATAATAAATAAGTGAATAAATATAAAAGATTTGTTTTTCTCATTTCTTAATTTCTTTAAAAGACTAATATTTAGGGAATAAATAATATTTAATTCTGTAGTATAAAGCATATATACAATAAAATATGCAACAAAAATATAGGACAAAAATGGGTAGTGAAATAGAAGTGCTTGCGTTGTATGCAAAGTATTACAATTATTATTTGAAGTGAAGTTATGATAAGCTAAAGATACATATTATAAACTCTAGAGCAACCACTTAAGGTATGGATAATAAGCCAGGAGGGACAAAATGGAATAATAAAAAATATTTAATCCAGAAAAGGGGGAAGAGGTATTAAGAAAGGTGGAGAAAAGAGCAAGGAACATATAGTTAAATAGGAAACAATTGGGTAGACTTAAACCGACTGTATCAAGAATTACATTAAATGTAAATAGACTTAATACTATATTTAAAAGTGAAGATTGTCAAACTGTATAAGAAAGCAAGATGACAACTACATGATTTTTATAAGAAACTGAAATTATATCTGCATAATGTAAAACCAAGATGGAGGAAATGATATGTAAGCAGGAATAATTAGAAATTTGGTTAGAGTATATTAATATTAAACAAGTAGACTTTCAAGACAAAAAGAGAGAGGGCAATTTGTAATAATGGAAGGGATCAAGTCACCTAAAGTGCATAAAAATCCTAAATGCAAATGTAACTTCAAAATAAAACTGACATACTGAAAGGAGAAATAGTCAACCCTACTATTACAGGTGACTATTTCAACATTTGTCTCCCGGTATTTGATAGAACAAGTAGACAAAAACAAAAGAAACAACAAAAAACAAACAACAAAAAAACCCCACAACAGTAAAAATATAGAAAACTTGAGCAATTTTATTAACTAACTCTACCTACTCAATATTTGTAAAACAGTAAATGCTTGTGTTAGAAAAAGTGAATGGTTTAAAATTAGTGACATAGCTTCTGTATAAGATAAACATAAGCAAAGTGTACCCATAGTAAACAGAAAAAATAATAAAGATAAGAATGTCTATCAATGAAATAGAATATGAAAAAAGAATATATAAAGTCAGTGAAACCAACAGTTGGTTCTTTGAAAAGATTAATAATGAAATTAATAATTTGTGACCAGGATGATTAGGGAAAAAATGAGGAAGCACAATTACCAATAAGGAGAACAAAAGAAGTGGCATCACTACAGATTCTGCAGACATTAAAAAGATAAGAGAATATTGTAAAAAATCATATTCTAATAAATTTGGCAACTTAGATGAAAGGGACAAATATTCTGAAAGACACAAATTACTACAATTGATGGAAGAAGAAACAGGACACATGAATAGTCACACATCAGTTGAAGAATTTAAATTCTTAATTAAAAACTTCCCATGAAGCAAACTTTTTAGGCCCAGATGGCTTCAACGTGAAATATATTAAGCTTTTTTTTTTTTTTTTCGCTTTTCATATTTATTTATTTTTTTAAAAATTCAGACTGGATCAAAAAGAAAAATCATCAATGATGTAGGGGCCAGACAAGCCAAAAGGTAGCTAGAAAAGTATGCCCCAAGCAAGTTAGGGAGCCTCATTACTACCTTTAACAACTGTACCTAACATAAATAAGCTTAGTTTTCCATTCTGCTTGCTGCTTCTGCCCCATCTACAAACATGGCACAGCCAGCTTGCCTTGCAAGGCCTCAGATGATGGACCCCATCTACACCCATGCCAGTACAGCAGTACTTGGCTAACTAGAAAAAGATCTCCTCCCCAGTCTATGGCTACCTTCACTGTTGTGTGTGAGATGGTTTAATTCCTTAAAAATATGGTCACTTCAGCACAAAACAATTTTAAGTCTTTATACCCTTCTACATGCAGCTGAAAAATGACAGGCTGGGGACAGAACATTGTGAACTTTGTACTGTTGGAATTATTGCCCATTAAATGATCATTAGCTAACAGTCACTAAATTTACAAATTAAGGAAATTATATATAGAATACTGCAAATCACAGTAAGAAGACTGAAGTTTGCTCATTTCTGCTTAGGAAGTCCCTTCACTCCCAAGCTTCATGTTGTCCTTTTGGCTCCAAAATTTACTACTGTTTCTCCTCCTTTTGATCTTCCTTTTGTTCCCCAGTGCCAGAACTTCCAGAGCCTTCTCGCTCAGATGCCATCTTTTTGTATGCCATTTCAAAGAGCTTCAGTGATGCCTGTTGAAGGGAGGATGCTGCCTGCTTAATGTTTTCTCCTGTTTCGCTGTCTTTTCTGGCCAGATCTCTCTCATTTTGGAAATCTCTCTTTTAGCTTGTTGCACTCATCAGCAGGCAATTGGTCCTTGAATTCTTCCATCTTGGTTTCTGTGTCATGAATGATTCTTTCAGCCATATTAACTGCTTCAACTCATTCCTTCTTTTGTTGATCTTCCTCAGCATACTTCTCTGCATTTTTGACCATATTTTCAATATCATCTTTGCTTAACCCACCAGAAGACTGGATTACAATCTGCTGCTCACATCCTGTGCCCTTATCTTTTGCAGAAACATGTACGATCCCATTGGCATCAATATCAAATGTAACTTCAATCTGTGGGACTCCACGAGGGGCTGGGGGAATTCCAATCAAAGTAAACTGTCCCAGAAGTTTATTGTCTCCAGCTATCTCTCTCTCACCCTGACATACTTTAATCTCCACTTGAGTCTGTCCATCAGCAGCTGTAGAAAACACCTGGCTCTTCTTGGTTGGAATAGTGGTGTTCCTATTAATAAGCTTGGTAAAGACACCTCCCAGAGTCTCAATACCCAGAGATAGGGGAGTGACGTCCAGGAGCAGCACATCTGTGACATCACCGGCCAACACACCTCCCTGAATGGCAGCTCCAATGGCCACAGCCTCATCAGGATCCACAGCTTTACTTGGGGCTTGGCCAAAGAGATCCTGCATGGTCTGCTGAACCTTAGGCATCCTAGTCATCCTGACAACAAGAATCACTTCTCCTATGTCACTCTTGCTGACTTCTGCATCTTGCATAGCTTTTTGGCATGGAACAATAGTCCTCCTGATTAGATCAGTGACGATCCCCTCAAATTGGGCACGAGTCAACTTCATATTCAAATGTCTGGGTCCAGAAGCATCCATCGTAAGATATGGCAAGTTGATGTCAGTCTGCACAGATGAGGAGAGTTCACATTTAGCCTTCTTAGCAGCTTCCCGCACCCTTTGAAGTGCATGTTGTCGTTGGTCAAATCAACCCCTGTCTCTCTCTTGAACTCTTTCACTATGTGTCATAGCAAGGCCTGGTCAAAGTCTTCACCACCTAAGAAAGTGTCTCCATTCGTAGATTTCACCTCAAATACTCCTTTCTGAATTTCCAGGATAGAAATATCAAAAGTCCCACCACCTAAATCATATACAGCAATGATTTTGTCTTCTGATTTGTCTAGACCATAGGCCAGAGCAGCAGCTGTGGGCTCATTAATCACTCGAAGTACATTTAGTCCAGATATCTGGCCAGCATCCTTAGTGGCCTGTCTCTGGGAGTCATTGAAGTAAGCTGGTACTGTAATCACAGCATTTTTTGCTGTATGCCCCAAGTAATTTTCTGCAGTCTCTTTCATCTTCATCAATACAAATGCTCCAATCTGACTTGGAGAATAGAGTTTTCCATGGGCCTCAACCCAGGCATCACCACTGGATGCACGGACAATTTTAAAGGGAACGTTTTTAATGTCTTTCTGTACTTCAGGGTCATCGTATCTCCGGCCAGTGAGGCGCTTGGTAGCATAGAATGTATTGTTTGGATTGGTGACAGCCTGTCACTTGGCGGGCATGCCAACGAGTTGCTCACCATCTGCTGTAAAGGACACAACTGAAGGGGTGGTTCTTGCACCTTCAGCATTCTCCAGCACTCAGGCTGGTCTCAAACTCCTGACCTCAAGTGATCCTCCCGTATAACAAGCTTTTAAGAAATAATATCACCTTTGTAAGAACTCTTTCAGAAAACAAGCAAGGAGGAAATACTTCCTATCTCCCAATTTATAACAACAGCATCACCTTGATGCCAATCTGAGACAGTGACATTATGAGAAAAGAAAACTTTAGACCAATAACCTCATGGATAAAAATGTAAAATATGAAAACAAAATTTTTATCTAATAAGCTTCAACAATATATCAAAAGGATAATACAGCATGAACAGTTCAGGTTATACCTAGAAGTATGGGGTTGTTTTACCTATGAAAAAATCAGTCATTGAAATTTATCACATTAGCAAAACAAAAGAGAAAGTCATATGATTATGTTGGTTGGTGAAGAAACATCATTTGAGAAAATTCACAATTATTTATTCTAGAAACATTCAGTAAACTAGGATTAGATGAACTTAACCTGATAAAGGCCATCTACAAAAACCCTATAGTTAATGTTAGAGTTGAAAGTCTGGTCATTTTTTTCTCTACGATTAGGAACAATTAGACAAGTATCTCCACTGTATTCATTATTTTTCTGGCAGCCCTAACTAGAGAAATAAGATAAAAAAAAATTAAAGGCATAAAAATCAGAAATGAAGAAATTATTATTATTATTCCTATGTCTGTCTTTGCATGGCACACAAGATCATATACATAAATACCCTAAGAACAATACCACACCAAAGAAATTATTAGAAACATTACTAAGTCAACTTAGCAAGATTGCAGGGTATCATTAAGTATTTAAAAATCAATTATATTTCTACATACTAGCAACTAACAATTTGAAAATGTAATTTAAAAAATTATGTAACAGAATCAAAACCATAAAACACTAGGGGAAAATTTTCTAAAAATATGATCTCTACTTATAAAATAACAGACAATGATAAGAAATTAAAGATGACTTAAATAACTGGAGAAGTAGATCATGCTTATTGATAGAGTTAGTTTTTGTTAAGATATCAGTTTTACAAAAGTTGATAATAAATTCAATGCAATCTCAATCAAAATCCTACTAGGATTTTTTTTTTAGTGGAAATTGCCAAGTAGTTTTAAATGTTCTTTTGACTGCTTTGTCAAATATCAGATAGCAAAATGAGGATGGTTTTATATCTGGGTTTTCTTTTCTGATCCATTGGTCTATGTCTCTGTTTTTTGTGCCAGTGCCATGCTTTTTTGGTTATTATAGCTTTGTAGTATAGCTTAAAGTCTCATAAAGTGATACCTCCTGATTTGTTATTTTTGCTTAAGGTTGCCTTGGGTATTCAAGCTCTTTTCTGGTTCCATACCAGAAAAGAATCTCTATTCAATAAATGATGCCAGGAAAATTGGACAGTCACATGTAGAAGACTAAAACAGGATCTGCACCCCTTACCACTCACAAAAATTAATTCATGATGGATAACACACTTAAACCTAAGGCATGAAACTATAAGAATTTAGAAGAAAATGTTGGAAAAACTCTTATAGACATTGGCCTAGGCAAAGAATTTATGAAGAAGACCCCAAAAGCAATCACAGCAACAGCAAAAATAAATAAATGGGACCTGATCAAATTAAAAAGCTTCTGCATAGCCAAGGAAAGAATCAATAGAGCAAATAGGCAACCTACAGAATGGGAGACAATATTGACATGCTGTACATCTGATAAAGGACTGATAACTAGAATCTACAAAGAACTCAAGCAAATAAACAAGAAAAAATCAAACAACCCCATTAAAAAGTGAGCAAAAGACAGGAACAGAAACTTTTCAATAGACTAATGGCCAAGAAACATGAAAAAATGCTCAACATCATCAGGGAAAGGGAAATCAAAACCACAATGAGATGTCACCTAACTCCAGTGAGATTGGCTTTTATCAAAAAGTCCCCAAACAACAAATGCTGGCATGGATTTGGAAAGGTAGGAACATTTATACACTGTTGGTGGGAGTGCAAACTAGTATAACCTCTATGGAGAGTAGTTTGGAGATAACTGAAAGAACTAAAAGTAGACCTACCATTTGTTCCAGCAATCCCACAACTGAGTATTTACCCAAAGGAAAAAGGATATTTTATAAAAAAAAGATACCTGCACCTGAGTGTTTATAGCAGCACAATTTATAATGGCAAAGATGTAGAAACAACCAATTCCTGAGTGGATTAATAAAATGTGGTATATGATACCATGGAATACTTACCTATAAAAAATGGTGAAATAATACCTCTTGTATTAACCTGGATGGAACTGGAGACCATTCTTCTAAGTGAAGTATTACAAGAATGGAAAAACAAATACCACATGCACTTACCATTAAATTAGAACTAATTGAACAATACTTAAAAATGTGTGCATATGGAAATAAGTCTCATCGGAAATCAAGCATATGGGAGTGGGGAGGAGGGGATGGGTAAATTCACACCTAACAGTTACAATGCCCATTATCTGGGTGATGGGCATACTTATAACTTTGACTCAAACTGTACAAAAGCAATTTATGTAACCAAAGCATTTGTACCCCCATAATATTCCAAAAGGAAATAAAATAAATTTTTTTAAAATAGAAAAGACCTAGAACAGATAAATAACTTGACCAAAAAGAATAAAGTTGGAGGACTTAGGCTTTATGATTTTAAGACAATATAAAGTTACAATAATCAAGACAATGTGTTATTGGTATGAAGATAGACAAAAAGATCAATGGGCTATAATAAATAGTCCAGAAATAGATCCAGTCATATCTCATAGGCTGATTTTTTAACAAGGTGCAAAAATAGTTTCATAGGGAAAAAAAGTCTTTATTAACAAATGACGTGGGAATAACTGGATATCTATGTGGAAAAAAATTGACTTTACACCCATATATAGCATCATACCCCCAAATTCATTTGAAATGTAACAGAGTATATTCTTGACTTTTGGAAAAAGATTTCTTAGGTGGGGTCAGAAACTACTAACCATAAAATAAGAAGTTGATCAGATGAATTTAATCAAAATTAAAAACTGCAGCTCATCAAAAGATAAGTTACATACTGGGAAAAATATTTGCAGCACATTTGTTTAATAAGTGTCGTATCTAACATATATATATATATATAGTGTGTGTGTATATATATATATATATATATAAAATGAAGCTATAAAATAAATACTGAAAAGACAAAAAGTAGGTAGAATATTTGAACAAATGTTTCTCAAATGGCCTACAATCACCTCAAAAGTGCTCAACATCATTAGTCATTAGAGAAATACAAGATAAGACCACAATTAGATACCACTATATATGCACTAGAATAGCCAAAAATTAAAAAAACACAAAACCAAATCTGATGAGAATGTGAAATAATTGGAATTCACATAAATTGCTTGTTGGAGTGTAAAATGGTACAACCACTATAGAAATTAGTTGGGCAGTTCTTCATGAATTTACATATATACCTCTCCAGTGATCTAGTAATTTCATTTCTAGACATTTACTCAAGGGAAACAAAAACCTATATCCACAGAAAGACTCCTGCATCAATTTCATAACAGGTTTATTCTTAATAACTCCAAGCTGGAAGCAACCCCACATGCTCACCAACAGATGAATGAATAAATGATTTGTGGGATATTCATGCAATGGAATACTACTCAGAAATAAAACGAACTACTAGGGCATGGAACAACATGGGATATGCTCAAAATCATGCTACTGATCCATCAAAAAAAATCTAGTCACAAAAGAAAACATAACTGTATCATTCCATTTATATAAATTTCTAGAATAGGAAAACCCATTTTATGATAAAAGAAATCTGAACAGTTGTTGACTCTGGGTTAAGATGTGGTGCGGTAGGAATTAACTGGGAAGGGAATAGTGTTGGCCTGGGATTTTCCAGACTTTAGCTCTGAAATTCCCTTACCCTGGGAGAACCCTCAGTCTTGGACAAACCAGGACAGTTGGTGATTCTAGAAGGAAGAGAATATCTTTTTGACTTGATGAAATGTTGTATATCTTGATAGGGGTGTGGATTATAGGGTTGTAGACAAATGTAAAACCCTGTCAAACTAATACACCCTTCAGGTTTGTGTATTTGATTATATATAAATTTTACCTTGATTTAAAAATTCTTGATGCTCATATATAAAAATATATACACACTTGGAGAGAACCCCTTATTTTTACTGGAAGGGTCTGGAAAGGCATCACAGAAAATGAAATGCTGTACTAATTCTTGAAGAATGAATAGTATTGCACTGCCCCGCCAAATGGGAGGAATAGGGGCAGTGTTAACAACACACTTCCAACTCC